ACTGTTCAAGATGTGACTGAAATTATTTGTCTTTTCTTGCTAAGTGTTTGATGTTGCCATTAAAGAGACAATGTGGCCGCCTCACTGAATCACATCAGTTAATAATGGCTTAATGCAAGGGAACGTTTGAAAAAAAAGTATAAATGTTGCATGTATTTCCACTCCTAACATCAAAAATATAACTCAATCATTAGTTTAAAAATATATCAAGGCCCAACGAATGATACCCCAAAACAGACACAACCCTAAATGAGTTGTACTCATATAGCAAGTTCCCTAAGCAGTTGCAACTTAAAGTACAGATCAATCTTCTTTTGAGATCAGACCATCCACATGTTAGCATAGGTTTTGAGACTGCCCTTTACATTCCGAGTTTGCTTTCTGAAGTGGTTTCACATGTACAATGTGAAAACGTAAGATATTAAATAGTTATTTCTACAGGAATAAATATAAATAGCAGAATGGTGTAACTCACTGCTTCTACATGGAATGGGGATGTAGGAATGGAGAAATTTTTCCTACTAATTTATGGGCATATATTCAGAATAGCCACAGAAGAGCAAAATGAAGAACTTTTCAAGTATCAACATTTGATACTTGTGAAAAGGAATCCCAAACCTTCTCACACATCTAAAAAGTACTTGGAAGAACTGCAAAATCTATCAAGACCACAGTATTTGAAAACATGAACATGCACTTATTTTCATTTAACACAATCAGAAATCTTAGCTAGAAAGCCCTTTATGTACTAAGGACATATACCAATACAAGCAAGGCCGTTAATTCTGATTCCTGTATTGGTGTGAATCTAAACTGAGGACATTCCTATGCAATCTAGTTATTGTTAGTACCTGCCCAAATATATACGCCATTGTTCACTGGTATATCTGAACCCATTAACATAAGATCACAGCAAATCTTATAGGCCAGCGTTCCTCAACCTCAGAAACTTTAAGATGGGTGGACTTCAACTCCCAGAATTCCACAGCCAGCCATGCTGGCTAGGGAATTCTGGGAGTTGAAGTCCACCCATCTTAAAGTTTCTGAGGTTGAGGAACCCTGTTATAGGCCATCCAATCCCAGACTTGATGCAGAACACCAGAAACAGAGCATCTCCAACCAAAGGCTTTCCAGTTCCTACTTGAAAGACGTCTAGTGAAGGAAAGTACATGCACTAGTTCCACTGTGGAATTGCTTTCATACCTAAGGAACCAGGAACAATCAGCATGGCAGAGTCAATGAGAGGGGTGAAGTCTGGCTGGCTTTGTGAAACTTCAAAAATCTTTGCAGTTTTCCTCTGAGATAAAGCTACTGCACTATATACAGCCATCTAAAGTTCAAAGGTCTGTGAGTTCCATTCCTAGTAGAGGGTTTGAACCCCACAGAATAACATCTGGCTATCCCAATAGATATAGATTCCCAATAAGGATGAAACCAGTAATGTGGTGCCCCCTGGTGATCACTTTAAGTGGAAGTACCACACAAGATAAACACTGCATAAAAGTAGAGAAATCCCCCCTCCCAAAGGATGGGGGTGGAAGTCATGTAAAACTGTACATGGGGGCATGACATAATATAACATCTGTATTTCTCCACTCTGAGAGGTTAAGGGAAGGTGGACTATTTATACCGTTCCGAGAGTACTTGGAGATGGAAATAAATGGGAAAAATATCAACCCTTCCTTTCTGATAAAATGGTTCATACGGTTCAGACCACTATGAGAAAAATGCCAAAAATGGCTTTGAAACAACATTGTAGGCAGAGGTTCCACAGGAACCTTCCCCATCACTTCTTTTCTCTTGGAAGAAGTGAACTGAGTATCTGTATGCCACATTGAAATTATGTGTCGGTACACACATCACACTGAAATATTTTTAAACTAACTTTTACTGTATACGTTGCAAGTGCTAGATTCATACAACACACTAAGTCAAACTTTTTCCAAACCACATTATGGCATTGCTTTGTTCACACTATATGGTAAAGATTATTATCAAGACAATGAGAATAGCCAACTAATGTTGCTAAAAATACGTGATACTTTTTGGCATTTTTATATATCCCTTCCAGCCTTGTAGCAATAATCCAGAGGTTGTTTCCCTCTACTTACTTCCTCATTCCCTCAATTTAATGTAATTAGTGACAGGAAAACAAAGCATCTACTTTGCCCTGCTTGTCTCCCAAATGTGAAATCAGTCACTTCTTGGTGGCTTATGACATACACTGAAGGCTTCTTCTCACTTTGTGCTCTAGGTATAAGATGCACATAATGAACCTATCTTTAAAAATACATGCATTATTACTTAAAGAGCTTGAATTTGTTCATTATCCTTTACCTAAAGAATTTACTGCATGATCATATCTTCCAGTATACACCAGTGAGATGGATTTACAGGATTTGCATAACATCAAATAATAATTTCATGGCTAACTTGAACATAGCTATTACAAAACTACAGACCATACCAGCTTTTTGTAGAGAGTAAAAAAAGCAGATACAAAGATAAGATTAGATTCAGTTTGGAAAAAAATAGGAAACCTGATGTCTTGGGATTGCAACTCCCAGAATTCATAGCTGTGATCATTCTGAGAGCTTATCTGAACTTATTTGAAGCATGCCAGGTTGTACTTCAAAAATACTAGGCATTTTATTCAATAAAGTATTATTACTGAAGGAGACAAGAAGCAGCAGCTGAACAAACTATTTTATTATTCTTATAATTAAGTAACTTGATTCTTACATTTAGATTTTCAGCTGGGTGCAGAGTTTTTCAAACAGTCTATTAGCTTAACAAATCCTAGGGAATTTTTTTCAAACCTGTTTCATTAATGTGTTTTTCTCTCTAGTAATTCAACTAGTCAGGCCATATCAGTTAATATTAAACAGTTAAAAGTAACACCAGCATTTTCACCCCTCCCCATACACACTTTCACTTACAGGGGTGGAGTCTCATGAAGGTGCAGAAAATTAACCCTTCACAGCTTTCTAAGCAAATCCTGGTACTCACAGAAGAGCTGAACTTGAGTATTCATAAAAGCTATACAATAGTTAGTTTCCAGAAAGAAAGCTGTGTTAGACTTTACAGCAAAACTACAGAATAAAAATAAGTGAAACAGTTTAATAAGTGAAACTCTTTAATATTCCAAAAGATTCCATTATTTTTAATTAAAATAAGTTCACCCTTAGTGTGACATTCAGCTCATAGCTGATTGGTTAAGTATGCAGAAATTCCATATGACAAGCTTCACAGATATGAGTGAAATGAGCCACCCAATTCTCATCAGATAACATCACAGACACCGAATCTTTGCACAATGCAGAAAATAATACCCCATCACTGGCTCATCCCCCACGAGAAAAAAGGAAACTGCTTTTGACTGAATCATACCTTTGATTCATCCAACACAACACTTTACAGGAGGCTACCCAACGTTTCAGGAAGATGTTTCTCCCGCCCTATGGGGCAATGACAAAACCTAAAACCCGAAGAAATCGGTACAGAAAATGTGACCGTGACCAAAGGCCACACCAGGAATGGACTACGGAAGTCCAGCACAGCAGAGGCGTGTCTTTGAACCCATCCTTCACACCGTTCACGGGGTTCGCGCGAAAGACACCCAGGTGGGCCACGGGCCCAGAAGAAACAGGGCGGGTGGCACTGCAGGAGGAAAGGACGCCGTTCGCAAACGGGGCCGTTCCACTAACACGCCAGTTCTGCCCGTTTCCCGCGTCCGCTTTCCCGGACAGGCGAACGACCCTTCGCAGGCAGGAACCGCGGCGACGCGACTTCTGCTTTGTGGGTCGGCTCGGGACCTCGCGGCGTCCCCTTCCCCGGGAGAGCAGCCGCCACGTTCTGATGTCCCAGGTCAGAGCAGGTCGTGTGTGTGCGGCCGGTCCCAGGCAACAGCGACAACTATTTAAAGTACCAATGGCCGGAGCGATCTCCCAAGAAGGACGGACGGACGGACGGACGGACGAACGAACGAAAGAAAGCTGTCTCCAACGGAGCCGCTTGTGTTTTAATGCCCAACACCAGGAAGCCGCGAGGCAGTGAATTTGCTTCTCCAACAGAGTTCACAGAATCTACTAAACACGGGTTAACAAAACACATTTGCTGCATTCACACTGCACGCTGTGCACAACTAAACCACATTACAGCTTGACGTAATGGCCTGGTTTCCACAACCCGCTAAATCACAAGCTACCCATGATAGCCTAGTCTGTGGCTCCTGCTAGAAAGAATGAGGGGTACTATCGGGACAATCCGGACCCCTCCATTTACATGTCAACAACAGCAACGTGGCCGGATCAACAGTCCACTTGGAACTGAGTTTTCCAAAAAGATCTTTCCCACTTGCTAAATTACTCGTTAGGGCCAGTCTTTCTCTCAGCATCCTCCAGCTTTAACAGCAGCACACCTGGAGGCACCAGCGCCGGGAAAGCTGGTTTAGGCAGTTTGCTAACTGGTGGGAACGCGCGCATCTCTATCTCCTGACTTCCCTCAATCCGCAGCAGCTCCCATCCAAGCCCAAACCCACCCAAGATGTGATCCACGCAGCAGGTCAAGCCATAAACCTTGTTTGATTTTGGCTTTACCTATTGTCTGAACCCTCCCGAGAGCGGATCGTTGACTTAAGGCTTTGTGTATTAAGAGAATCCAGTTAGTTGTGGCTTAATTAGCAAACCATAAATCAACAAGCCACTCGTTGTTTTCTTGCTTCTCCCAGGATCTCGCCACCTGCCCCGTAGATCCAGCATCCTACTCGCCGGCTGGGCCGCGAAGAGGCTTATTGGACCGTCCCACCGACGCGATCCCAAAGCTGAAAGTAGCTGGGAAATTGGAAGAGCCGCCTAAAGGTCAGCGCTCACAGCCTACCTCATCTCGCCTAAGTAAGGAGAGAACAACTCTAGGAGCGCCCGGTCTATTGAAAAGGACCCCTCCCACCAAGTTCCGCAGGGCTTACGCTCGGGTCCGAAACGAGAGGGAAGAGCACTCACTTAGCCGCCCTGGGGGAAAGGGGAGCCTCCTTCCCGCGGCCGCCGCACCAGAAGGCAACGAGCAACTGCGCGAGGAAAACGAAGCGGCCGCGGTATCTCCCCGTGTGGCCCAGCCCAGCCCAGCCCAGCCCTTCGCTGCCTCGCAAAATCCGCCCCTTGGGATTGGCCAGGGTGAGTAGTGAGTCATTTTTGTCTGCTTACCTTCCCCTTCCTCCGTCGCCTCCGCACGTGCTTCTTGGACGCCAAGCAGCCCCCGTTCAGCCCCCTTGGGCAGGTGGCCGAAGGAGAGGTTTTTGGGCGTCGAAGTTTTGAAGTTACCGGTTTTACATATTTCTCTCCCTCCACCGTTTACGCATCAGCTAAATACACTGAGGTCTACTCCAAACTATCGTATGCCATGCATTCTAAAGCAATGCTCATCTTTTAAAACAATCAATAATATATAATCAAAATGCAGCACAAAGACAAAAACTGTGGCCATGTTAAAAAAGAAAAAAGAAACACTGCCACTGTGGTGGAATGACTAAAATGCACTTTTAAAAAATCTGCTTAAAATATTAAACAAGCAAACAAACCACAGAATAAGGTAATGGAACAGATTGTGGGAGGGAATTCCATAATATTGATGCTGCCACTGAAAAGTCCCAGGCCCTAGGAAATTCAGGTCGGACCTCAGGGTGGATCACATACCAGGCCTTTGTCCAATGAACATAGTGTCCAGTTCTTGAGCTGTTATATATTGCCTTTCCTCCAAGTAAATGCACCTAAGCCACTTTTGTATTATTATATTATTCAAGCACCTTGAATTTAACTCAGAAATCTGTTGGGAACCAATGTAGCTTAGCCAGAGTAGGTGTGATGTATTTTCAGCGTGCCACTGGGTAACTTCCAAATATAATTCAAGGGTTATCCCATATGGTACATGGCAGTAATCTAACCAGATGTAACCAACACATCAATCATGACAGCTAAGATCATGGCAGCTGGGAGATCATGTATAAATGGAAATAGGCACTCTTTACCACTGAACTCAGGGATGGCACAGGAGATTCCCAAACTGCATAGCTAATGTAGAGAAGAGAACTATCGTATCTCCTTCTAGAGCAGGGCCACTCACTTCAGCTGAATGAGATATCTCCTAACTGCAAGTTTCAATTTGTTGTATCTCATTCAATCTGTGACCTGGCCCAGGGAGAAGCCAACCACAGAGCCCAGTATATCTGATGAGGTTGGAGAGAAGTAGGCTTGAATGTCCTCATTGTAATAGCACAGTGGGACTGCCCACTGCCCTTGACAATCACTTCCAGTGGCTTCATTAGCAATACCTGCCTTGACTGAGTTTGTGGTCAGTATTAGCCAAATGGGAGCTGATTCTAAAAGACATGTGATGGATCAAATGAAATTTGTCTAAGGACCTTGTTGTACTTGACATAAGGTTCACTTAAAGTACTGAATAGGGAAGAATACAGCACAGTGAAGTCAACACCCTTTAGCTGGATTTATGTGATGCTATAATCAGTCTCAGCAGTCAGTGCTTCAGCTGTATAGTCCAATCAGAAAAATCAATATGGCGGTTGAACCTCATCTCTGTAACTGCTACCTCCTAGTTATGGAGTATCACCATCTCCCTTAATCTGGTGCTTTCCAGATACGAATAATTATATAAGCTGAAGGTAGGATAAAACTTAATAGGGAGAAAGGGACTGTTGCAATGATTCAGGAAGTCAATAAATCTTAGGAGTTTTAATCATTCTGTTAATTGACCCCAAGGTGCATGTCAGTTAATAAAATCAGTTTTGAAGAAAGGAACCTAGTTCCTCTTATTGTTTCACAGCATACATTGACTGGATTTTTAATTCAGTTAATGTGACTTGCTTGTACAGTTTAGATGTTGAGTGAATCCAGCTATCATCTGTTAATGGTGATATGATGTGACTGATAGTGTAATTAATGGGTGTGAACCCTGCCAACTATCATTTATTCAATAAACCATGGTTGTAAACTGTAGCTTCATATTTGGGATGAATACAGTCCTAGGCTTAGAATTGTTTTATTCCCATGTAAAGCTTTTTTAGAGTTGCCTTGTTAATGGTTTGGAGCTGCTTCATAAAGCAATATGGCCTCCTCGCTTCTAGAAGCAAAGCATCCACCATGCTTTGTTTCATCTTGTTTCTGAACCTTTTCCATTGGACATGCTGGTTGAGGTTGCAAGGCAACCCAAGGGAAATCCACACATCTCCAGACCTCCACAAGACTATTTGAAGCACATTATGATGGAAAATGATGTCTGCATCAAGGACACCAAATAGCTATTCAGTCCTACAGTATATGATGCTTCCTGTTTGTTTTAATTCTTATTCAGTATTTAAATTCATTTAAAATAGTAAGCATCCCAAGTGGGTGTCAATGCACAGCGTGTATCTCCTCATAGATGGGGTGCAGACTACAATATGTTGATTTACAAGGCAGTCTGAAAGCCATTGCTGCTGCAAGAGCAAACCTCCAGCACCAAACATCTGTGTCCCTGCCTGATAAATATGATAGGAGTCCTGGCAAATGTATTGCCTTCCTTGCAATACAATACAATAATACATCTTCCTAAGGGAAGTGGGTGCTCAGAGTAGGAGGGCTGCTGCTGGATTTTGGACTGGAACAAGTATAATGCTGCCAGTAATGGTAGATTTTGCCCCATTTTCTGGGTTTATTATTTCATAATCTGAATTAACTAGTGCATCTGGATAGCAATTTGATTCTGTATTGGAGCCAGACATTGGTGATCTGACCTGCAATCAGTGGGATTGCAAGAAGACCCATGGCCACTGCTTAATCTCAGAATTGATGTTTACGTTGTCCTCCCACAGGTTTGGCAGAAGGAGTAGGTGAATCCTGCTCTTCAGGATTTACAAAGTAAAATAATCAATTGTTACATGTCTTACTTTTTATATGTCATAACCATCTGTCCCCAACAGTTTGTTGGTTCTCTCTATAAAGCTCTAATATAGTTCACACATTCTGCTGAGCTATAATGTGCCTTGAAAATCATATTATATGAACCCAGCCAATTGTGATTTATTAAAAAACTTGGTTAGCATATTGCATAAATTATGGCTTGTTTTACCATAAATTACTGATTAAAATAAAACATACTAAGCCGTAAACCATAGTTTATGTCAAGGTTCACACAATATGCTAAATCAGAACAGACAGTATTATGGTTTAGCACAATGTGTGAACTTCGGTCATTGTATATTTATACATAATATGACGTGCTAAAGCCCAACAGTTGGTTAATAGGTCCCACCATTGAAACAAGTCCTGTGTGGCCCTTTAACCAAGATCTCAGATTTATACAAGATTTTCACTATTGCTCAAACCTGAAGTAGTAGTCAGTTCTCACTTTCTTAATGCTCAGGATCATCCAATGTATACGGTATTAAAGCCCTACATAGAGAATTAAATGGCAAATGTTCAAGCTGGTTTCAGAAAAAGACAAGGAACAAGAGACATTATTCCTGATTCATGCTGGATAATCGAGAATGCCAAAGAATACCAAAAATAAGTCAACACTGGCTTCATTGACTCTAGAAAAGTCTTTGATTTGTCAATCATGTTAAACTTGGAATGTCCTTAGGAAAACGAGAGCCCTGTAACATCTCATTGTTCTCATGCACACCCTGTACACAGGAAGAGAAGCCACCGTGTGGACAGAACATGATGAACGAGATTGACTCCAGGTTGGCAAAGGAATGAGAAGGCTGAATATCTTCTGTTATTTATCCAATCAAGGTGTATGTTGCTTTGCAAGAATGGCAACTGACACAGAAAAACAAGACAGTGGAGGCTTTTATGCTTTTTATTGTATACAGAGAAGTTATTTACAGCAGGTATTTATAAGTATATATAACACAATCCTAGTGTTTACCTAGTATCAGGTTTCCTCCTAAGTCTCCCTCCCAGAGACTATTCCCTTCTAGCTTTCCTGCTTCTTCTCCTTTTCTTTCCATCTCCCTCCCCCCTTTCTAGGCTTATCAGCAGACAATGAAAAGAAAGGAATGGACTAGATTTACTGTAGCATGCTCAGCGCAGCTTGACTTTCTCCTGGATCTACTCAGGAGAACATCTGCTGCTTCTCCATTGGGGGAAGAATCTCTCTCAGGGTCTTCTGCCCAGTCCTTGTCCAGAGACCAGGGCTTCATCAATGACTGATGAACCCCTCCTTTCCAACTTGGGTGAAGATGTCCTCTCTCTGGGTCTTCACTTCCCTTCTTCCAGGGAAGCCACCCATGGACCTTTCTTCTCCCTCCCCGACCAGGAACCACCAACTGCTCTGCACACTCACATAACTTCACTCTCCAACTTTTCTCTCCACCCACTCCATTTTGCACAGTCTTTTTCTCTCCTCTCCAATTTTGAGTCATACTGGCAGCATGTCCCCCAGCAACTGAGGAGGTGGGTGTCCCCCCAGTGCTCTAGTCCCCAACATCTATATACCAGGCTGGACCAATGGGAATGCTGTCTCTAAATCTAACAGCCAGGTCAGCTCATCAGCCCTTGTGACTTTTTCTCACTCCATATGCTGACTCATGCCAGCAGAACTGCAGCCATGTTAGTGAACAACCATATGCCACAATGCTGAGTATGTACCAAGGGAAGCTGGATTGGAAGATGAGCATAGATTTAAAACTGGAGGAAGAAACATCAATAACTAGAGCTTTGCTGATAACACTACTCTTTATTTATATATCAAATTTATATGGTCCCCCATCTCCCAAAAAAGTGACTCTGGGCAGTGTACAACAAAGATATAAAATGATAAACATATCAAACAGTCTGTATTAAAAAGTTTTTAAAAACCATAAGGCATACAAGAGTTAGATGTTAACAGCAATAATGGAGCCACCTCAAGATCTCACTGGTCCCCTGGGACCCCCAGGCCTGATGACATAGCCAGGTCTTGAGGGACTTCCGGAACATACCATATTTTTCCGACTATAAGACGATACTTTTTTCTAAAATCCTTACCCTAAAA